ACCGTGTACTGTGGCAGATCAAACACAAACCCCCATCTTACAGGACGATTATTCTGTGAAGTGAGTAGTGTGCCATCCCTGCTTCTGAAACACTTTATTAAAAGTTGGTAAGACCTCCCGGAAATGCAGCCGTGTCTCTCCAGTACTCTCTGCACCCTTCCAGCGAGGTTCCCACTGTCCCATACCCAGAAGAGGAGCTCTGGAGCTGCAGCACACCACTCCAGCCAGGCACCACGCTGGAAGAGGTGACCAGGCAGGTCAGACCTGGCCCTGCAAGCTCAGTCATCTTTTAAAGCATCTTTGTAGTTCATCAGCCTAATTAAGAAACCATGCAGTGGATTGCTATGACTTTAATATCTGTTGCTGACAGTATCACAGGTGTACTCTTTCCTTTCTGGTTTTGTCCACATCACAGGTCTCAATGAAAAGTGGCAGAAGAAATGGTTAAAAAGGAAACAAGGAGAAGAAAGCACATGCAGGTAAATGTATTTTAGAGTTAGGAATTTTTTTCTTTCTACATTTTAGTTTTTCCCTTTTCTCTTACACTGGTATCCACTAAACATTGGTAACACCCTGCTAAAATGTTCCTAGGATGAAAAAACCCCCAAACAGTAGCCCTGCCAAACCCTCCCAGATACATAAAGTAATTCTTGAGATAAATTATTTGATATAATCCACAAAGATTCTCATATCCTTACCTTAGGAAAATAGTAATCATAAAATAGACTAACATTTTTTAAGTTTTACCTCAAAGTTCACCCTGTTACAATAGCAGAAAATCCTGGAAGCAAAAGAAGAAGCTGCAGCCTCCCTGAAGTTTGAACTAATGAACCTTTTGCAAAGTGGGTCGACCAAAATTAGCAGCAAAACCAACAAAAGCTTCTGCTGTGTACTGCACTGCCGTCTTCCTGCTGCAGGCCATACCTGTTCCCCATGGAAAATCCCTGTGGCTGTGCTCGTTTTTTCAGTGCATGGAGCCAGTTCCCCTCTTTTTGATTTTGACAAGATCAACGCTGGAAATAAAACCTTATCTTGCCCACCCTTTCCAAATGTGAGATAGGAGTAAGGCATATTTTTGGACTTTAACATATAAAGCCCGTGACTACTATGTAAAAATTCTTCCTAGAAAATGAGATGATTCTTTGTGGAAAAATCCAGCTTCTCCAACTAGCTTTCACAGTGATGAAGTCAGTCACAAATACTGAATTATTCACAGTTAATTAATCCACCTAAAACAAATTTCAACTCTGTTTTCTAATTCTCATTGGTCACTAACATACAGCTAGAATTGGGAAGCTGTCACTAAATAAGTATTTCCTAATTCTGAGTGGATATATATGGATATACATATATACAGAAAAAAAGTTGGATGCGGTAAACCAAAACTTCAAAAAAGGTGAGATTAATGGATAGTCTTTAAGTGGGCTAACCCTTAAAAGCTCAAGGGAAAAAACCAAACAAGAAAAGGCTCTTGTCCTCATATTTTATATGATAGAAAGTAACGAATAATGGTAGGACAAAAATTACTTTAAATGCATTGAAAAATAAGGTTATAATTATGGAAAAGTATTTTCTGTCAGGAATTCTGGAAAGCCTTATCAAACTGCAAAGATTGTGCTCTTCCTTTATTTGACAAGGCTTTGACAGTGTGTGTTAGGGACCCTGACTCAATCAGTCCCCAAAGGACAGAATACAAATCTCAAATGCTGCAGCAGGCAAAATAGGTATGAAAAGCTCTTGAGACTGACTTTCCTACACAATTTGCTGTCCTTCTTTTTCTGTTCTAAGAAATACAGTTCTAAGAAAGAAACACTCTTCTATGATATTTCCGTACTTTTCATCTGGTTCTAATTCTGTCAATTCATTGAAAAAATCTTAAACATGGCAGAATAAAACAAAAATAGAGACTCCCAAACCGACACAAAGAACCATTAAAAAAAGGACAAAAAAACCTCACCTAAACAAAACAAGCAAAATATGCAAATTTGCATTTTATAATCTGTATGTAAAACCGGTCTGTCATTGTACCTACTTTTTTCTCTTACTGAGTACTTCGTATCAGAGAAAGCAGGATCACACATAACACCTTTCCTGTCAATGCTATTGCTTAATTAGTCAACATCACGTGAAGCTTATGATAAAATTGGTTGAGTTGGGGCCTTCAGTCTCTGAAGAGAGACATCAACACGTAGGATACTATTACAAGCTATGGGTTTCTTATATTGTGAATGGAAAAAGGGACACTGAGGTGTTCTGCAGAGAAGGGTCATACAGGACTTTGATCTCAACTTATAAATACCACTTAGACTACAGTGCATGCTTCCATTATTTGGAAATGTTTATAAGAAACTAGTAATATATCTAAATATATGTATATTTTAACTAGCATTCCCGTTATGTGTCGCTTCTTTTTCAGTGAAGACAGCTGGCATATGAAACTTCGAAAACTTTTTTCTCCCATCCATCCCTGAATAGTCAAGGGAAAAACATATATGACATGTAGTACACAACTTCTGCATTGCAGGTGCAACAGACACGCAACAGTGACAAAAAGTCAAAAAAACCCACCAACAAGACAGTAATATAAAGTGATTGGTTAAAAATATTTTTATATAACTGACAGTATTTAAAATATTCTGCAGGCAGTATTTCTTCATCTTGATGCTCAGGGAGAAGACAGACTTCTCTCTGATTCTTTGTCTTCTTATTTTCAAATGCATTAGTCTCTAAACTGAAAGCAGACAATTGCTAAGACAAAAATATATCATCAATGGTTTCAACACATTAATATGAAACGATAAAACCTGTATTACAGCACTGATTTTTTGAGATCATTACCCTTGAATTTGCATTAGATTACCAGATATGACTACTTTTCTACTTGACAAAAGTTTAAGTTGAAAATCATTTTGTAGGCATATCAAAACTAAAGGCTTCCACTCAGTTTTCTAATGTGTCACTTCTCTTTGTCAGTTAACAGACCAGCCATCTTTTATTCTCTGCATGAGGAAGAGTCAGCAGTACACTCCAAAGACATTAATTTCTTTACTTCATACAAGGTAAAGTGACAGACTGAGATACTCTGCCAAGAAATGTTTAAGTGAAATACACTCAAAACATAACAACATTCACAGAACAAATTTCAGAAGTGCTTAGCTGAACAACAACTACAGGAATATACGAAGTCATCAGGTCTAAAAATCTTGCCATTAGTGGCAATGAAGAATGTGCAATCCTGCAAATCACCAAACATGGATTATATTTTCCCTATACATAATCTTTTCTTTATACCCATGAAACTGATCACAACCTAAGTAATTTGTGTTCCTCCAAAAGAAGACATATGAAAAAAGCAATCCAGGTTCCCACTGGCATGACAGAAACATCTTGTTAGCCCTGAGGATGTTCTAAGGGTTGGGTTCACATCCATTCAAAGCTTGGATCCAGCCATCTCCTCATAGCTCGCCTAGTACTTTCCATTCCTTTCCCTTCCCCAGATGACACCATTCATTTAATTTGAACTGTTTCCAGAATCATACGTAAACACAGCGGCTGACAGAATTTGTTCATGTAGGGTCCCTCCCTCTGCCGAATTACCTATCAGGAAACTGTTACATTTTCTGAAATTTTTATTTCTTTCTGAAGGACTGAAAACTCACTTCAGAAACAGTGCTGGGCAAGAATATACTCTTACCTGTACCAACACATTTTAAAAGTCCTGTTCCTGCCATCACACTGAAATGAACTCCCCACATGAAGCAATGAAACTGGGAAGTCAGCAATGCATTTTCTCTAACAGCTCCTGTTTTTTTCTTCTAGTTTTCTTCCTTCTGATGGCAAATATTCAGTGTTTTCCTGTGATACAATTTTTATTTTTAACTGAAGAAAATAAAGGTTTTAGATCACACTGCTGCTGTTTCCAGCAGACATTTTATGAAGAGGAATTTTATCTTTGTCTTGACATTGACATTCAAGTTTAGTTCCATTTTTTCTCCCTAATTATCTTTTCCAAGACAATTGTATATTTGAAGCAAACCAAATACTTTCCCTCAGGGCATCAGAAACATAATCTGTCCAATTTCCTTTCTATGGACATTGAAAACAAAGCACTGTATTGTAACTCAGTGGGGAATTAAGAACTATGTGACGTAAAAAATGGAAAAAGCACTATGTAAATAAATTCAATACAGACGGCAATAAAAATAATGAAAAATCCTTTAAGCCACCTTGTTAATACCTCACAGAACTGCCTGCTCATATTAAAGTCTGTTTGTCTTTCAAAGGAGGCTGAGACACTAAATTTACACAAAACAGGATTTTCATATTCACAACAATGCACTGACTGATTAGCAGTAAATCATTTGGAATATCTTAAACAAACTGAGGACTTTCCGATCACTTTATCCAGCAGTCTTGTTTATGACTCAAAAGATTTTTTATTAAACTTTGATCATTCTACAAAGACACAGCCCCTCCCAGAACTCTTTATTTTCCCGATACCTGAAATAAAAAAATCAGTAATGTTAAGCATATAATTACAAGATTATGATGATAAACTATAAGGCTGTTAATGAGTTTTTAAACAGAAGGTACACTTGTAAGTCTTCTCAATAAATGTAACTATTGGAGCAGCTTTTGGACTCTGATCAGCAAGCCACTAAGAAAATAATGGCAGGGGGTTTCTTCAAAAATACTGGAGAATGTAATTGAAAATAATAATCTTGTGGTGTATTGCACGCTACCAGTACAGCCTACCAGCAAAAGAGCTGGACTTTTTAAGGACTGCTAACATGCAGACTGTCATACACAGTACACAGTAATTTCTACTGTATCCCACTGGTAGATATGCTGCATACGTACATGGGTACACAGATGTGTATACTCTATGTATACACTTATAGAGACACTATAGAACTTCCTTTAAGTGAACACGCATCTCATTCTGGTGTAGACTTCAGCTTCAGCTGTGCGTTCTAAACATTGTTCAGAAAGGTACTTACTGATGTGTAGAGGAAACCTTCTCCATTTAGGGCTATATACAACCCAGTCTTTACACCCTGGATAGCAACAACTCGAAGTCCCACTGGTATAAGGTTGAATAATGCTGCGAAAAAAAACATGACCAGAAATGAATATATTATGGTTATTAAAATATTCTAATACATATCGTTAGTAAAAAGAAAGAAAACTACTCCCTGAATATTTTTTTCTGATTTTTAAAACAAACTAATTCAGAAAATCTTGTTTGCAGTAAAGTTAATCTTTAAAATTAAAGCCTAAGTATCTATATCGCAACAAGTCCACCAATAGTTCAGTATTTGGCACAAATGCTAACTAGCAAGTACAAAGCATACCAGACTGGACTGTAATCATTTAGGAAGCACTGCAGACATGAGTATCTCAGGGTATCTGAAAAAGGTCAAAGAGCCCAACAGTTCCTTCACCAACAGTTCCTTCACCAATGTAGACTGGTTATAAGGGTAATACTTGTGAGACACCCTGCAAAAAACGTATCTCTCTGATTCTGGCAAGTAGGTTTTTATTTTCTTAAGCATTTTTATGGTTTTGGATTAAGACATAGTCTCATTAAGATTACTTTCAAGGGGTCTTTGATTTCAAATCCAAACTTGTTTTTGCTTTGATACAAGCACTAGTACACAGGCCTCAGGTAAATAGCGGAGGCTTATCCCAATTCAGGAAAGCACTGAAATATGTTCTTGACTCTAAATGTGTATAAATGCTATTGAGCTGAATATAGATCATGTTCAAAGACTGAAATTCTGGGAAAAAAAAGGTTAATTAAAAAACGTCTAATAGCAGATACCTTAGCAATGGTATACAGCTCTGTATCAACAAAAACAGCCACAGCTTTGATTACTGTCTGAAAAAGACCAGTGAGCAGAGCAAGAGTTTACCAGCCTCACCACAGAACAACAAAAGAAAAAGTCATATAAGTAGGAGACACAGACCAATTCTTCTTCTAAAACTTATGCAAGCACACTTCTGTACTAACTTCACTGACTCATACTAGGAAATCAGATGCAAAACACACATCAGCCAGCCTCGGAAGAAAATATCTGGATGAGCCAGAGCTCCTGCTAAGCGGTTTTGCCCTGTGCATGAGTCATGGATTCACAAGTGCTTGGATAAAAACCAAAAGCACAACCTATGTGTTCAACATAGGCAGCAGGGACCATGGTTCCATCAAGTGACAGTGAGTTCCTCAAAACTTAGGAAGGGTATCCATAGGTGTGATGAGAAACCGTACCCTATGAGGCTATCTGT